AAACAAAGCTCTCAGAATATATTCAGAGCAGGTACAGCACAGACAGCAGTGGCAGCTTTTCAAAATTCAGTACACCGTGTTTAACAGTGGCCTGTCATAAAATTCTACTGGTTTCTAATTAGTCTGTATAATTTTCAATCTTTGTTGAACATGAAGTTATATATCGGAACAGTTTTTTCTGTACTATTATACCTCATAAATAACACTCACATTTATATTCTGCTAAAAAGGTATAGAAATTTTGCAGTGCCAGAAGACACTCTTATTTCCTACATAAACCTTTCACCCTAACCACAGGAAAAGGTGACTGTGTGTCTTTAGCAAAAACTTGCTATTTCCCTATGTATTAAGGTGTGATACCATTTCTTCCTTAATTCACAGGCATAACAAATATTCCAAGTTAGGTTTTTCCTCTAAACTAGTGATGTAATTTATTCTTCTACCAGATAATAGTTTGTGCATATTTCATTCACTACCATTAAATTTTTTGTCCTTCTGGAAATCAAATTTAACCTTGGCTTGTAAGGACAGAAATAACTTCAGAGACAATGTTCCTGAAACACAGTTCTTAAAAAACAAAACAAACTTCAAATGTAGACTCAACCATGCAAATATTTGGCTAGCCATAATGTTATTTCTTTTAGAGTAGACTACACTAAACAGAATATAAGTGCTCAGATACAGCTATTACTCTTTTAAGAGTAATTTTGTTCAAAATTAATATTCTACCCTGAAAAAAAGAAAACAAAACAAAAAAAAAAACACCAGCTGCCAAGTGCAGATAACTCTTAGGCTTTGTTTTTGTTGCTTTATACAGTGATTTTATACAGTTAGACATAGTTTGCTGACGCACAGTCTTAAGTGTAGATTGTCCAACTAAATACTAGACTGTCCAAGTCAGCTAAGCAAGGTCACTCTTGTTTTGGGTGTCTTGCAGTAAACCTCCTGCCTTGTCCTCCTTCAGTATACAGTACCAGTCTGTAATAAAAGCAAGTTAGGAATCCCACGACTAAAACAAAACAAAACAAAAAAAAAAAAAAAACAAGACAAAAAAAAAACCAACTTAAAACCACTTTTTTTTAGGAATCCCACGACTAAAACAAAACAAAACAAAAAAACAACTTAAAACCACTTTTTTGTTTGGTCAGCCATACCTGATTTACCTGCTTGACTTACAGATAAGCAAAACCAGATTGCATAAATTGCATCCACAGTGTCGAATTTCAGGAAAGAGAGATCTGTTTCCTCTCATGCCCCAAGTTCTTGAGCTAAGCTGAGACTGTCAAGGATCGTGTCATTTGTCATGCTGATCTCGTTATACTAGTGTACGACAAAAGAAAAGATTGCCAGAGCACCCACTCTTAGACAAGAGGAAAAAGCAGCCATGAGATGTTCCTGTGGTAGACAAAAATTGTAATTGCATCACTGAAAGGAATACATGAGGTCTGCTCCTGTGCTTTTAAGTTAAAACCTGAAAGGGGAGACACTAACTCCAAGCAAGATTAAATTTACAATTCACTATTTTTTTTAAATCTTTAATTTTACACAGGGGTTTGTCTTCAAACTATGGAAACAAAACTACATTGACATTAATGGAAGTTTCACAAACACTCTCCAGAGGAAGCTACACAGATTTTAGTCTCAGAGTGGAAGCGATTACACCGCTCAAGAAGTTTCTGCACTGTCTTATAATCATAACTAATATCACTGAATATATGTAAGTTGTCTCTACAGTAAGAATAACATTCTATTTCCATATGCTTATGCACTAAACACAGACATAAGGGAGGACCATGTGCAGATGAGTGAGCAAAGGGCTGGCACAGGGAATAGCTATAGGAGGCCCCAGAGAGAGACAGCACTACATCCTGCCAGAGCAGCCATTGCTCCTCTCTGCCAGCTAATGTCTGAAAACCCCAGCGGCAAGCACAGATCACTCCAGCAGCTGATCCTCCTCACGAATCCTAAGTACTACCGCTTACCTTGAGTCCGTCTTCGAGTCCTTGCTGAGAATCAAAAGCTTGCAAACATGATGCTGCAGCAGTCAGGAATCAGTATGATTTTACATAAAGAATTCCTGAGGTTTTTGCACTTGTTTGATCTTTGATAACCACAAGAATGCGCACAGAAAACAAGTGAAAAACATATTCAGGTTGCTGAGTCTATTATGCAGAAGTTCTGAAATCTTAGAATTGTCTTCATGATTTAGATTTATCCTTTCTGCCCTTGCACAAAGGTAGCAAAGTGAGCTCTAATTGTGAGAGCACAGCTGGTTGACATAATTTATTCAGATTTCAGAAAGGTTTTTGACAGGGTTCCATGCAACTGGAGAAACTAAAATACTGCTTGGGAAAAAAAGGCAAACCAGTATCGTGGACGAATATCTGGTTGGAGTAAGTGAATCAAAACTGTAAGATTAAATTCTAAATTTTTTTTATTATGACAAAATTTTGACAGCAAGGTTCTTTTGAATCCTATACTTAGTTCAGTGTTTTTTAACATAATAACTCTGACCAGTGAGAGAGGGAGAGACAGGGGCAGGTAAAGAACAGTGATGGAGTCTGCAGGTATCAAAAATGTATTTGGGGAAAGGGAGATTTATGAATAAGTTCAGTGTGACTTCTGTTACATGAGTGAACAATGCAATGACAAAAGATTCAGCACTGATATGAATATGAAATCATGCAGAAGAGAAACTTCATACAAGCTAGACAATCTCCAAAGCTGGTCGAGCCCCATGCTCAGTATGTAGCAGCAGCCAAAGATAAAGCCTAACATGCTGGATTACATACAAAAATAGATCAGGGAGTAAGTAATATCAAATACATATATATTCTAATTGGAGGCATAACCTTGTTTGAAATACTGCAAGCAGCATAAGCCCCCTTTACTGAAAAACCAAACACTGTAGGATTAAATACACTTGGGAGAAAAACTGGCAACGAGCAAAAGTTGGGAGTAATTCTCATAAGAAAAGAGTGAGAAATTTTCTGTCAAAAGACAGTCATGAGGAAAGATATAAAATAATGAATGGTACCAAAGCAGGAATTTTTGTGCCTTTTTTTTTTTTTTCTCAAAGCACAAGAGGCTATTAAATGAAATAAGTAAGAAAAAAAAAAAAAGCAATGCATTTTTATGTAATTCACAATTCAACATGCTTCTCTGCCACTCAAATGCCATTACAGAATTCTAGTGCTATGAAGATATTAAACTTTTATACCAGTGTAAAGACTATACAGCTGGGTCAGTAATAAACTCTGAAGTTCTATTAAACTATTCCTCCAGTGCTTGTACTGAACTATTAAATATTTGAATGGGACATTTTTGGGGAAATTTTACCTCACATCTGCCTTGCGTAGCCGCTCCTTTCCTGTGATACACTGAAACTACTCAATGTCATGGGCTAGAAAAGGTGAAGGTTAGCTGTGACCTGCAGTAGTGACTCCTGTTTTTCTATGGACAGATTTATTCACCTGTTGTGTTGCTTTACTCTTACTGCCATAGGCGTGACCTGCTTAACTTTGTGCTGCTTAATTCTATTCTGACTACAATTTAATAAGTTTTATCACAAATATTTCAACAGCACCTAAGTGTCAATGGATTTATTTTCATAACAACCTTGCGGGGGAGGGGGTAAAATGCTATCTGGTTAATAAATGGGAAACTGGAATAAAAAGACCAAGATAACAAATGTCCACAAGCCTGATTTGCCTGGGTCCTGATTTCCCAGAGTACTTCCTTTAATAGTTTCTATGCCCGAAACATCGCCTTGGAGACTTCAGCAGTTAGGCAAACACAGTTCAGCGTCTCAAAGCAAAGCACTTGCAAAGTAAGAAACATGCAATGATTTGTGCGAGTTATTTTGCACGCGGCAATGTGACAGGACAGAAACATGTGCGCACCATCACTGGAAACTGATAAATCTATGATGCTGGACAATCATGGAGTAATTAAAAATCCAGCCCCTCCAGTTTAATTTCTCTCCCTTTTTAGAATCCAGTTTTACAAACACAGCATGTCTGTGCAGATGGGTCCAGACAGAGCTGAACTTGTTCTGACTAAACCAAGCTGTTCCAACCTGTTGGCACAGATGCATCTTGATGCACGTGTACACCACTACCTACCCAAGGAGCTGCACAGATGCCAAAGTTGCTCAGCATGAAGCAGTTTGAACTGCTGGTGAGATACAACTCACAGTGCTGATGCAGCTCTATCAGATTAAGTAACTCTAAAAACACAGCCTCACGAACACCCGAAGGGAGAATAAAAACTGCAGAAAGCTACATATTGCCTTCCATACCTTCTACTTCTGCAAGCAGCAGCCAATACTAATACACATGATCATCTTACAGACCACCAGGTTATTTGCTACAAAACTGAGTTGATCAATCCATTAGATTTGAGCTCAGGCAAATCACCTGCCCTCATTTTAGATACAGCCTTGTTTCAGGTGTGTTGAAGTTTTACCGGCAGAGAGAGCTGTGGGGGTTTGCTTCCACTGCACTACTTTTTTTGCAAACTTTAACCCACTACCACCTGGAGCACGTATCAGGAGTCTTTAAGTGGGAAAAAAAAAAGGCAGCCAAAATTTGTGGACAAACCTGAGATACTGCGCCAGGCAACAACTGCAAGGTGAACTTTCACACAAATCCACTTTCAATCTTTCCTGTTGGTCCCAGCTATGGGTATATCCCTACAGACGTCGAAGGAGGAACTTATTTTGAAACAATACCTTTTCATGCATTTTATACCACAGGAGCTAGGAATGAACACCCACTGGTCCATAGCCTTCTCCTACTAGCGAAAAAACTGCCACACAAAGTTGAAATTTATATTTTCCTAGAAAGGCTGTTTCTAAAGGTTTTGAAAAGAAAAAGTAACTTGAGTTCAGTGTGAAAATAATTTTTTTATTTTTTCTCCTTATAGAAATGACCTCGTCAAAGAAGAAAAACCAAACCAAACAAACATTTAAATAAACCTCTAAGAAAAAAAAAAAAAAAAAGGGGGAAAAAATAAGGAAAGAGCTAGTTTCAGAGATCCCACAGATTTGCCTGCAGTCCCAAGGACAATGAACAGGCGTGAGGCGGCTCTGGCGGCAAGGAGAAAGGGAAATCTCTTCGAATCCTTGACGTGTCTTTTGTTAACTTCCCATAATTGCTTTTTTGGCATGACCATTGCCCGGACGCTCGGAACAAGCAGTTCGAAGCGCCAGCCCTCACAGCTGGGAAGCAGGGCTCTTCCACAACAAAAACAAAACAGTAAAAGCCAAAATAAAGCCATACGGCGGCGTGCGCGCACAACCCCCGCCCCTGAGCCACCAAGTCCCTCGGGGGCACGGCTCGGGTGAAAACACCGGCCCCGAGCGAGCCTCGTCCTGCCGGGCTGACACCGCACGGGGCGGCAGCACCGAGCAGCGGCACGGCACCCCCTGGACACCGCCGGGGGCGACGCGGCGGGAATGCGGCGGGAAGGGCGGGCGGAGGGCGCTCGGTCGGCGGGCAATGGCCCGGATCGCGCTGCCGCCGGCGGGACCTCGGACCGCGCCGCACAAGCTCCCGCCTGGCACAGCGCCGTCAGTCAGTCAGTCAGTCAGTCAGTGTGCCGTGCCTCGCTGACCTACAGCCGGACACGCCGCCCAGCAGCCGCCAGCACAAGGGTCACCCATGCCGGGGCGAACGTCCGGCCCCGCAGAGCAGCCGACACCGAGTCCTTGGCTAAGTGACGTGACTCACCAGCTGCCCTCCCCCTCACACATCCCCCTTTCGGCGTACAACAGCTGTTTTATCTCCCGCTGTAATTACGCCACATAAAAATAGTTACAAGGTACTTGGGGAAGGCTTGCTGCTAAAACGCTGTTGCTTCCCTTGTGCAGTGAATGCGGATTTGCGCGGGTGCCCGCGCCGCTGTGGGGGGGTGCAGGGTGGTGGGGAGGGAATGATCCCCGCTCTGCCGTAGGAATCCATTATTTCATCAGCCGTTTCAGGCGCCTGCTGCTCGCCCCCCGCGCCTGCCCGGCCGGGAACAGCCCCGCACGTGCCGGTGCGGGAGTGACACAGACACGCTCCCGTGGAATGAGTGCACGCCCGCGCCCTCACGCCTGCTCCGCGGCCAGGCGGCTTCTTTTCCTTTCCTTTCCACGCTGAAACCTTCAAGCGGCTGGGCGTTCAGCAGTTTTGATTTTTTTATTATTTTTTTTTTTAATCTGATTTTGTCGGGGGCGGCAGGGGTAGCGCCGGGACCCGCCGCCGGGGCCGCCTGTGCCCGGGGAGAGCTCTCCACCTCGCTAGGGAGGCTGCAGCGAGCTGCTGGCGGGTGTCACGTTTCCCATCCCGGAGGAAAAGAAACTGTTGCTGCTGCAGAGCGTGCTCGCCTGACAGCGATGAGTCAAGCTGTGAGACTTCTCTCTTTTACAGCTGCGATCATGTGCCGCAGCAAAATCTACCGGGCTGTTGGGGGGAGGGGGGGTCGAGGGGGAGAAAAACAACCTTTTACGAACTGATGTAAAAATAACCGCAGAAACGGGGCTCGCCTTCCCCGCGGGGGTGGGTGGGGGTGTGTGTGGCCAGCGTCGGCCAGGCGGGGCTCCTTCAGCACCATAGGGGATCAGGGGGAGCAGTCCCCGCCGACCCGCTCGGCAGTCGGGAGGGGGGCGCCGGTCTTTGGAGGGCTCCTTCCCTTCCCCTGCCGTACGGACTCTTCTTTCTTCTCCTCTATTCACGCGAAGGAGTGGGTGGTTCGTCCGGCAGCAACAGGAGGAGGCTAGTCAAGGGCAGCTGTCAAAATCTCCCCCCCACCCCCGCCTCTTCCTTCTCCTCCTTCCAGTTTAATGATCAAACGTCTGCTTGAAGAAAGGCGAGGGAGCGGGAGGCACGGAGAGCTCCCCCCGCCGCTGCTGTTGTGTGTGCATGAGCGAGCGGGTACAGGCGGACACCCCCCCTCTCCGGCCGGTCCCTCCCCTCCCGGGTGTTGAGGCTCTGTCAGACGGGAGGGGAGGGAGGAGAGAGGAGGAGGAGGAGGCAGCCGCCGCCGCCGCTGCGAGTGCCAGTGCAGCGCACGGTTACTCTCCCGTACTCACTGCGGGGAGGTGGGGGAGGGCGGGCGCTGTGTACCTTTCTCTCCCGTGCCTTTCCTCACTTTAACAGGCCGGGGCCAATCGCCAGCAGAAGGGAACAAAGGGAAGGGGGAGGGAAGCCCACCCCGGCCGCACTAGAAAGCCCCCAGGGGAGGCAGAGCCCTGCGGCTCCCGCTGACAGCAGCGCGGCCGGTGACCGGGCGCCTGGCTCCTCGGCAGTGTTTCTTCTTTCTTCATCGACCTTCTCCTCCTCGCTGAGCTTAAAGGGGGAAAGCAGCGTCCGGCGAAGGGAGAGAAACTTGGGTCGGTGCGTGGGGTGTCCGGCGGTCGGCTCGGTCCTCGCGATCAAGATGAAAAGTAAAAAAGGTAGTTGTGATGGGGTGCCGCGACAAAGGGGGGTGCCCCGCGCCCCTAGCCGGGGTGGAAAGGGGAAGGGGGGGCTGTCGCTAAGCTAGCAGGAGTCCCTTTGCCTTCTCGGCCTTTTGTCCTCCGTGCCCCCCCCCACGCCCCCTGGCCTGAATCCCGTGAAAGATTGTAGTGGATGCTCCGCTCCCAGACAAAACATGCGGGGCTGTTGTTTGGAGGCGGCCGCCTCTCTGCGCCGCTGGCTCCCTGTCAAAAACATGTCCAGCCGTTCGCCTCGTGTCCTCCGCCAACTTTTGTTCTCGCCCCCTCCGTGGAGCCTCTTCCCCCTGCCCTCCCGTAAAACACTTTTGAACCCTTTTCCGCACCGAGCCCCACCATCCCCGAGAGGGGGACGAGGGTGCGGGTGGTTTTCCCAACTTGGGGCGAGGAGAGCGGGGCCGTCCGGCAACTCTTTGTTCGCGGGGCCGGCAGCGTGGGGCTTGAGGCGTGGGGGGGCATCGGTGGCAGGGCTTCAAACCCCTCCGCGCCCTCGACCGCCTTGTTTTGCTGAAAGTTGAAGCCTTTTCTATCCCTTTTATCCCTTAAAACAGGGGGACGAAACACAAAGTACAAAAGTTTTGACGCAGGGTTAAAAGGAAAACTTCCCCCCCCCCCCCGCACCATAACCATAATGCTGTTTGAGTTTTCTTTGTGTCCACTTCCAAACAGACAAACTTTACAGTTAGAGGATCGTTACTCATCGCACTCGTGGTGCTTTAAGTGCCCTTAAATTAGCGCTTGGCCACAAAGACGCGGAACGTGCTTTCGGATCTAGCGCTCCTGCGCTGGCTGGGAAGAAGTTCATAGCAAAGCAGTGTCTGTTCAGTTGCGATTTGCCAGTCGGCGGTGTGGCTGAAGGGTGTTTTGCATTCAAAGACCATTAAATGCTCCGAAGTGGAGGGTTAGAGGGGAGCAGTGCGCATGTTCAGTACTCCAGAGTTGTGCTGTTTTCGCCCTACTATGCATTCCTGCGGCTCCGTAGTAAAGCAGCCTCTCATTGTTAGTACCCTTGGAGCAATTAATGCATATGTAGTTCGTGAAATCATTGGGCTGCTGCAGACATGGTGTGTACTAATATGGTTTGTAGCCCTCGTCAGAAGTTTTTTTTTGGACATGCCACTCGGCTAAGAGGAGCGCACACAAAGGGAACTGAGCCACAAAGGCGAAGTTTAAAGAGCAGGCAGGGTGGTGCTGAGGAGCGCAGCGTCCCGCGGGAGCAGAGTGGAGCTCGATCCCAGGCACTGCCGGAGCTGCGCCCCGAGCTCAGCCCCCTGTGCCCAGGGACTGCGCTGGGTTTTAAATGTCTTAGGTAGGTCGAGATTCTTCACCCTGTTGGAAGCAGTTTGTGGTTTGTTTCCCCCCTCCCCTCTTTTATAGTTTCGCTGAATTAATTTAGCCCAGTTATTTTTAGGACATTCCTATGCTGCCTATTTGCACAGCAGTGGTGAGCTGGTTTCCTGTCTGCTGTTGCTTCCATTGTTCAGACTTCTCTCCCCGAGGGCAGCTGCTGGTTGGTGAAATACCAAACTCCCTGCACTTTCAACTGTTGTTCTTGCCACCCCCGAAATAAATGCGTGTGGAAAACGCTGACGTAGTTTCTAGGTATGCATGTGTAGGGCTTTGTGTGTAAGAGTGTGTGTGTGTGTGTAAGCTCTGCTTTGAGGATTGCAAATCCCGGGCTGAAACAATGGAAACAATGAAAGGTGACAGGCGGGAGGGAGAACTTTTGAGAGGGGCCATGGGCCTGGGGTTTGCGTGGCACAAATTAAAAGGTGAAGAGACAAAGGCAGAAACTTTTTAAAAGATGTTAGGGCTAGGGTGCCTTTGTTTTAATAAAGGTTGGGCTTGTACTTATTTGTGACCTCCTGGCACTTGAAGCTCATTCAAGAAGTTTCAAAGAGTGACTTTATTAGAGATTTCTTGCTTGCACTCCTAGAAAAATACCGTTTAGAGAGAAAAAAAAAAGTATAGTACAGCCAAGTCTAGTTGCTTTAGAAGTAATAGAGTGCAAGCTGTAAAGTACAGAGGAAAACAAATAGGCTGGTTCCTCAATTATGAAACTCATTCAGAGGAAAGAGGTGGTGGTTTTTTTTTTTTTTCTGTGGAAATTCCCTTCTGTATCCTTGTAGTTTTTTGGTACTTAACTGAAGTATTTTTGTTGTTTATTTTTAAATTTGCATTGCATTTTGGTTAGATTTCTTGGTTATGTGTGTTGAGTTTAAAATTTTTAAGTGTGTGATGCTGTGTTTTTGTTGATGGTTAGTTTTTTTTTTGTTTGTTTGTTTTGCTTTGTTTTTCTGGGTTTTTTTTTTAAGCTAGCAGACTCTGGATTTAAACCTCAGGATTCTTCTATGGATAGTTTAATTTACAAATAATAAGTCACACGGAACCTACTTGGCTTGTTAATTAGCTGATTTAGAACACAGTCTCGAAAAGGCACAGGCATGTGCTCAAGTTTGTACATGTGAAGAATCTTACTGAACTTGGTTACAACAGGATCGGAGGCTTGGATAGGAACTGGTTCTGTTTATCAGCGCTCGTAAAAAAAAATCTCACTAAAGAAATTCAGAGAACCCTGAGGGGTGGGAGGTTTTCTTTAAGGTGATTTTTGTCCATCCCCTCTCTGGAGGGCAGAGATTGTTCCTTGTGGTATACTTTGTCCTCTTTTGAATAACAATTGGCTTCTGCCACTTCCTCTGTGAAGCTCTTCCTCGACACAATGGGATAGTTGTTTTTTTTGGTGCCTTTTTTTTTCCGCCCCCCTCATAGGCTAAATTTTTCGTTTGCTTAACTTCCATTTCATTTGTATCAGCCTCTGTAAATACTTTGTCCTCCCCCTCAAAGTATTTCAGCATACGTTTTTAAGTGGCAGTGGTTTGTTTTGAAATCAGCTTTAGTCATCACTGTACTTTTACTCAAGTTGTTTCAAGCTGTTAACTAACGTTTGGGTGTTGAGCCCAGACTCCAGATCCTAGGTGTAATCTTCCCTGAGCTGATTACGAGGAGTACCTGTGAAGTCTTTGGCTGTGAAACAATGCAAAAGTGCATTCAATCGTGTATATGACTTCAGCTGGGAAGCCAGGAGGATAAAGTAATTTATAAGGGGATGCTGATCATGTAGTCCTTAGGTCATTAATAGCATAGACTGCTCTTTTAAGTGGCGATGTGGAAATGAAGGAATGGGATTTTGTGTTGTTTCTCAGACCTCTCTGCAAATGAACTTGTGGTGCTTTAATTTTAGTTCTATAAAAGCAGGGTTTTTTTTTGTTTGGATTAAATGTATTTAGGAGGAGACATAAAATAGCCTGGCCATAGCCTGCTTTTAATACAAAATAAATTAGTCGGTCAGCTGGGGCTACTCACCGTGTCCACAGGCCTTTATTCTGGGTGTAAATAACAGTAAGCCAATGGTCCAGTCATGGAGCGTGGCCAGGACCCTTTTCAGTTGGGCCCTGTTATAACAGGAAACCAGCAGCGAATAGGCTGATTACTAACAAGACGGAAAAACAAAGCTGGGTTGTAATCAGCAGGAATGCTTTAATGAAAACAGAGCCTTGACAGCAGCAATGTGGCTCCTGCTCTAGTAAAAAATATCAGCTGGGGTAGTGCGAGATTTCTAGCCATGACTTCCTGTTGCTGCTAGCTCTGTACTGCGCCTGAGAGATCTGCCACGAGTTCAGAGGGCTGATCAGCTATTTAAATGAGCTCATTTAAATGAGCAGAAGTCTGTACTACACTGGGTTTCCTGCTTAACCAAAACCTGCTTTGTGTCACTAACTTACTGTGTCAATTAATATGACACACTAAGGCAGCAGGTCAAAGGGCTGGCTCTGCTGGTGACTCATTTCTTGCTAGGTAGGTTACGGTTAGTCAGATGACAACTTTTACTTTAGCAAAAGATCTTATTTGAAAAGGGAGAAACGTTTTTGTAGTGCTGGCTTGCACATAGTATCTTATCCCATTTTTTTTTTTCCAGCTAAAGGAAAAGCAACATTTCTAGGAGAGGTTTTGCTGGTTTACGTCAAGTTTTCTGAAATTCAGAGAGATGTCCGTGGAGTGTTTTAATTGTGTGGTAGATCCTGGAAAGGTCACTTCAGATTGGGTGGTGTGTACCTGTTGTACTTCTTGTTATGCCTTGTAAATACTGCTTGCAGACCATTAGACATCTAACTTTTTCACAGTAGTTTCTCCTTCCCTCTTGTTTCCAGCCCTTGCTGTTTGCCTCTCCCTCTTTTCCAAGGTCTTGCCTTACTGCCCATTATATTTAAAAACAAACAAAAAACCCAACCCTCTGAAGTGCTGCAACAGTTCTGGTTCCTGACAAACAAGAACAGCGCACTTCAAAACACTGTCTGAATAGCATGGGCTAGTTTTAGCTAGTTTTTAAATTCAATTTAAAAGGGCTGAGCTGCTTTGCAGAGCTGTCCTGTTGTCTCTGCAGGATCTTTGTTCCCAGAAGTGTTCCTCGTGGCTCCAGGAGCCTATGGTGCAAGGCATGGTCTCAGGTCAGGTTGCAAGCATGACAGCACTTTCCATGACAAAGTGGTTTGCTTGGAATCATTGTAAAGCAAACTTTTGACATACTTTCTACATGAATTAAGAAACTGTTTACATAATTTGGAGTTTTATCTTGTGTTGGTTATTTAAATATTGTCCTATTGTTCCTGTTCCATGACTGGATAATTTATGTAGCTAATAATCAGATGAAAAATTTGGTATGTCAGTTTGGTGTTTGTCGGTTACATAAATCAGCAGTTGGGAGAATGAAAACAATACCAAGTAAGTTACTGAAGCAACTATGCCAGACAGATTGCGGATTGATCATCCTGTTGGGAATGCTTGCGTATCAAAACTGTGCATTTCAAGTTGGACAACTTAAAACTAAATTTAAGGATGTTGGAGCTATTCATAAATAGGGGAAGGAAAGAATAATTTACCATGTCAGCTTTGGCTGAAGTTTGGAAGTGTGAGGAAAGGTCCTTCTCTGTTTCTCTCCCTACTCTCCTGCCAAGTATTAAGGAAAACTTGCACATGCATACCTTCTGTCTTTCTTTGTGTGGTGCTGGGGGCTTTGGTAGCTGGCTGGTTGTTTTTTTTTAAAGGGCATTACTTCCTTCTTGCTTCTCACTTCCGTAAGTGCCTTTACTTATGGATATAACATAGTTTTATATAGTTTAATGTTTTCACACGTTCACTTCTGGTTGTTTAGGGCTTACTTTATTTCCTTGAATAGAATTTTTTAATTATGGGTGGTTTCCCACAGAAAAATTTTACTTCTGACATTTAGTTGGCTTTACTATTAAGGTTTTTAGTTTTGGTGTTACAAGTGAGCAAATTTCTTCCTTTCCATCCATCAACCCCCCAATCTAAGTTCAGGAGACAAAAAGATTAAGGGCTTGTTTTCCTTCTATAGTTTCTAAAACTGCTTTAGAAAGCCAGTGTGAGTTCACTTGAAATTAGTATTAATTTGTACTAGCTGAATGTGGGTAGTATCTTATTTGGACTTGTATATAGTTTGTAAGATTCCTAAAATTTCTGGTGAGTTTAAACCATGGTTTTCTTTGTGTTTTATGGAACTAGTGACTCGTGTATCCTACCAAAGGAGTAGAATTGTAGCCTTCCTAGCTATTGAATAGTTCCTCATTTGTTTGATTTACATTCCATAGCTTCATGTTACTAGTAGTGTGGTATACATATATAAAGGGATAATCAGATTGTGAAATCTGTTCCTTCCTTTGTGTTGGAGGGAGAAGGTATGCAGTTAACTGGTAAGTTTGGAGTCCTTATAGTAAGCATAGCACAGAACGCACATTTCCGAGGATAAAAAAATGAGATGAAAACCACAAAGTTGAAAAAATAGGAGAAAAACTAGTACATCTAAATGATCATGGTTCTTTGATACAGAATATAATTAAGTGAGAGTCAATTTCCTGATAAACTGGTGAACTCTTAGGCACCCGATTCTTCCCTTCTTTTGCACTTTTTTCCCTTCGTAAGTGAAAATCTCCTTACAGGTGGTGAGAAACACAATTTTTCCCTTTCTTTTTCTCTTCTTTCATTAATTTTTCTGAATAGATATAATTATTCATTTATAAAATCTACAACCTATCCCTCCCAAGAGACAAGCATCAGGATGTTAAGAAATCATTAAATACCCTATTGCTTGAGTTGGGTCTTGCATGTTGACCTTTTGCTCAGCCACTGGTTAGTTATCCTTGAAAAGAAGTGCTGGATGCATACCATAGCCAGCAAACTTGGACAATATCCTCATTAGATAGAAGCTATCTGATAACGTTCAGCAGATAAAAGGTTGCCAGGGGAACAAGAAAATGAAGGTTTGCAGAGAAGAATTCCTTTAGGAACGGATCATTGGTGCTACTTTTTTGTTAGCTGACAGAAAAGCTACAGCATGACAGGTTAATGCTGCAGGACGGATCTCTCGTACAAGGGCTGTAACAGCAAAGGCAGCTCACGTGATATAAAATGTCTGTGCCGTACAGTGCTGGAGCCAAGTAGTTAACGGATTTAGGAGGCTGATTGTGCTTGTCTTACAATTGTAGGTGTAGTTGCAATATCAGGCAGTGAAACGGAGGATGATGACACTATGGATGTCCCACTGGATCTTTCCTCATCTGCTGGCTCAGGCAAACGGCGGAGACGTGGCAACCTGCCCAAGGAATCTGTGCAGATTCTTCGGGACTGGCTCTATGAGCACCGATACAATGCTTATCCTTCAGAGCAAGAAAAAGCGCTGCTATCCCGACAAACACACCTTTCCACACTACAGGTATTTAAAAAAGTAGTTCTCCGTTCTAAAGGAGCTGTTTTCTGTTTTAAGTCACCTGTGGTCTAGTCATGGATACAAATGTTTACACCGCATGTGAGATTTCCTTTTTTATTGCTACTCTCCTGCTGATGGCACTCATAAGGAGAGATAGAGACTGATTATGTGTTACGATGATCTGTGTTTATTGGGAATAAAATTATTTTTCTGGGAGAACAGACAGTCATGAATAGGAGCATGCATGCTAATTTTTTGCAGAACCGTGCCCCAAAAGACATAAAGTGTCTGTACAAGGTAATTTATTGTGAGAAGAAGGTATTTATTTGTCAACAGAGGTTTTATGGTGATAGATGTGCAGCTTAGCATGTAACTCTTCACTTGTAAAATGGCAACTTGATGCTCGTTCCAGTAGAACATGGACATGTATAATTATGTGTGTGATCACTGCCATTAAAATCAGTGGAACAACCTGTATGAGATAGAGCTACTCAAGGGTGTTAGTGCAGGTATGATGAGGTGTTTGTATGTTTATTTTGGATTCTCATCCTGGGATGCCACTGGCATCTGTGAGATCCCTTGGGCGCAACATTCTCATCTTCTGTGATCATCTTTGGTAGAATAGCTTTTGCCCATTGCTGCATTCCATGTTGTGGGAAGGTGGCTGCATGAGAACTTGGGTAAACCAGGGTTTGGTTTTGGGAGCTGCTAAATGGAGAGCACTCCTGTTGAGTCCTGGGCTTTATTTTTCCATGATAATTCATTAGTGCAAAGTTCATAATTGGCTATAGAGTAAAATTTTCTTAATGCAACATTACAAAGAAGACTTCCTTTATGTAGTAAAGAGAAAAAAGACGTTAAACTATAAACTATCCTGTATTGCCCAGGAAACTGGTTGATATTTAAACAAGGACAAACTTAAGTGAGGTAATTCATGTTATGTCTGTCGACACAGTCAGTTGAACAAGGAAAATCAGTAACTATTTGTGGGAGGAGTGGCTCTCTTCAGAGAGAAAAGGTTTTCCTGTTGTTAATTAACCTAAGCTAGGGAACAATAGCCAATAGGTTAATGTGTCTGCACAGAGTTAAAAGCTAAACTCCTAGTTTGGACTTCAGGTGTCCAGGGGCTTTCTGTAACAGGAGCAGGGAGTTGGTAGCACGGGGACAAGGGAAGGGCCTTTGCCAGGCATGTCAGAACTTGTCAGTAGGTCTCTATTTTGTTGTGCAGTGCAGGAAACTGCTTGGAGGGATTCATTAATCTAACTGTCTGCTCTAGTGGCACATAGTTGGGAATGAATGAAGGTAGAAATTAAGATGTCATTATATTCCCAGGTCTGCAACTGGTTTATCAATGCACGCCGCAGGCTGTTACCTGACATGCTGAGGAAGGATGGCAAAGACCCAAATCAGTTCACTATCTCGCGGCGAGGGACCAAGCTTCCCGAGGGCGGCCTGGTGGAGTCTGCCATCAGCACAAAGAACTACATTCCCCTGCTGGATGAGACTGCCTTCCTTCCTGCTGCCGCGCCGCTCGGCAAAACTGTGTCCTCTCCCAAGGCGGCTTCCCCGGGATCGGTCCTGGCTCGGCCATCAGTGATTTGCCACACGACTGTGACTGCGTTGAAAGATGCCCCTTTCCACTTTTGCCAGCCAGCTGATGTAGGCCAGACCACGGACCTGCAGCAGGGCCCGGCTGGCGGCTTCACAGATAGCCCCCTCTCCTGCCACGAGGACGCATCCAAACTGGGACCTGGTGCAAACACACAGAGTGGGCTCTTTAACACTCCTCCTCCAACACCACCAGACCTTAACCAGGATTTTAGTGGATTTCAGCTTCTGGTGGATGTTGCACTCAAAAGGGCGGCAGAGATGGAGTTGCAGGCAAAACTTATGGCCTAAATCCCCTTCCTTCTCCTTCCCCGTTTTGTTTTACCAGGCAGGGATCTAACAGCTGTGTGGTTATTGCCACCCACACGATATCAAAAGACTTCACTGCGTTATTATTATTTTTTTTTTATTAATCTTATTTGCACAAGGGGATTGCTGAAATGAAGCTTCCTGTCACTGAGATGGTCTTCAGTGGAATACGGTCATTCCAAGAATTACGAACTTAAAGCTACTGTAGAAAGAAAGGATTGTGTGTTTTGTTGGGATTTTTTTAATGTTTTCTTTGTAGATTTTTCATAATGTGAGATGTTTCCCAAGATCATGTGATTTGTTTTGTTTCTTTCAGACTGTGCAATATCTAGTAATGATATAGAGTCTTCTTATCATTCCCATGTGGAACGGAATATACCGACACGCTGTCTAAATTTTCAATTTTTTTAACAATACAAACTTTGGATGATCATGCTTTTTTCCCATAATATAATAAAATATTTTCTTTAAAAGTGATGCATACAGAGTATTTTGTTGAATACAAGCTTTGAAGAAGACATGAATTACCCTTGAAACAAATGGAAGTGAGAAATATTTTTGAACTCATACTGACTTTGTTTGGTTCAGAGAGCCATGAACCAAACTACCAGTTGTTGTTAACCAGATGTTTAAAAGAATGCTGAGAAGTGGGCCAAAAGTACCTGATTGTGTTCTGCTATGTTGAAATTTTTTAAGGTGCCAAAGGGAGCTATGTAGGCAATTCTGAGTAAATTTCAGAGGGAAACCTTGGGCCCCTCTAACAGTTCCAGCTCTTGGCTCCTTGAAATATTTTAGGGCTGGGAAATGTGATGGCCCATGGGAAGATCTGAAGATAAAAGGAAGAGGCCAGAAGAGGGGCTGGGACAAGTGTTCTTTGCAGATCTTTGTGATGCAGCTCCTAGACATGACTGGTGACAAATTTTGATAGGGGAGGGCAAGCGCTTCTAGCCTTTTACTTGGACTAGCAATGACAAGGCTTTTACTCAGTAATTCTAGTAGACTGAAGTAAAGTAGGCTGTATTGCATTGAAATCCGAGTTCTGGGACCCAGGTCTTTTTAAGACACTTTAACAGGTGGTTGGCTAAGTTTTAGAAGAGATCCCTGTGGTATTGGGGTGTATTTTTGCCAACAGAATCTTAAGTTACCTTTCAGAAAAGGACTTTGCTATCAAAATGACTTATTACTGAAAATGGTGAAGACTTGCAACTCACATTTCAACTTACTTGAATGTCAGTCGCCCACCCTTATCCTTCCAGCAACAATGAAATAACAGACCTCCAGGGTAAAAAAATTACTGCTTCTGGCTAATCTTTAAAAACAAACCAGTTGTCTGTTTGGGAGGTTGGGGGAGGGCTTTGAGGAGTAGGAGAGTTGGTGAATTTAAGGATATCTTTATGAGTAGAGAGAAGACTACAATATTCTGACTGCTATACTGTTTTGCTGTGGCCTTTATAATTTTCTAGTGTCAGATACATTTTGTTTGTTCTCTGGAGTGCTCTTTGGAATTTTTCTGATCTTGTGCCTTTCTTGAACCTTCTTGTTTAAAATCAAAATGGCAAACAGTAAACACTGGTTTACTTTTGACTGCTTTGGTAACACAGTCTCCTAATATACTGTATGAATATAGAATTATTTTTTAAAAAATTGGAAATAAAGCTGGAAAATAATTTTGAACATAGAGATGGCTTTATACTCTGTCTTCAAGGCATTGCAGGTGGGTACAGGAAGAGCCTGGTGTAGTGTCTCTGGACACGCTGTACTTGATACTTCTGAGCTATTTTTCCTGGGATACCTATGTTTGTATTGTTTGGTTGGGTTTTTTTAATGACTAATTGTAAAATGGAAGTGTACTTTTTGTCACTGTGAGGTTCATGTTGAGGGAAAAGTTGGTTAATAGACATGGTTTTGTGGAATAGGTGATTTATCTTAAGGGGTGCTACACACCCAAAGTGGAGTGTCATCTTTGATAAAGGTTTGGAAGATGCCTTGTCCTTTCCTGTTCTTGCTGGAAGGAACTTTATTGCAACATTCCTTACACCCATGCTTCATGAATGAAAGAAAGCCTCACAAGTACGTTTGCATTGTTTGATTTGAATTGCTAGACATTTTCCTCTTTTGTTTCCTTTTTTTTCAAAGCAGTTTGCTGGTGTGCTGTGGGGCACTCACATCATTAAATGACATTTTCAGACATCTTTACTCTTCATTACTTTGCCCTTTAAAATAAAAAATGTCAGCAAGTTTAAAAAGAAAAAACTGCTGGTTGAACTGACCAGTTCTGTAATTTCACTAAGGCAGCTGCAATATTGAAAATGAAAATAGAATGAGGAAGAAAGCTGTTGCCATTCAGGTTAACAGTTTTCATTGAAAGTAAAAGCCTGTGATCTCTGCTGTTTTCATTTAATATTACGCCACGCAAAGTGGTATTAGTGTAAATGACCACCAAAGTCCTGCTCGTGTGATGAGCACTGCATTTCCATTTTGCTGACTGACTTACCGTGGGAACTGCACTGGTGACCAATTTTGATTGAGGCTAGTTATATACTTCTTAAATTATGACTTGTGTTAAGGTTACACCTAGAAGTTTGGCTGTAGTCACAAGTCAGATGGCTGTGGCTGAGTAGCACCTGACACCACACCATGTAAAAGCTTTTCCCTAGCCTGAGGTGTTATTTAACTTAGAAGAAGAAAATGACTCCTATTGAGTACCCACTAAAATGTATCAAAAGGGAGTTTCTGCTCCCGTGCAATCTAGCGCTGATAGTTTGGTGCTGGCTATTGACATTTACCTAAACCTGTTTTTTCTGAGCATAAACCTGAAGTAACTTTAGATAAAGTTATCAAAGGTAGGTAGGTATATGTAGGGCATTGGGTGGAGCAAGGATCCTGAACTGAGCAGGAGTCCAAGTAACAAACCAAAGGCTTCAAGTGCTGGCCACAGATCCCTGGCAGAGCAAACAAAAATTTATTTGTGAAACTTATTTTACCACGGAAAAGAAAAAAATAATATAAAGAAGCAGTGAGACAACATGGGTGGTTTTGCTGTTCTTGCAGCAGTGATAAACCTAAATGCAAAGCAGTTTTGTCAGAACCCAGTCTCTGACTGAAAGCACACACTTCGGCTGGAAGCTGAAGGGAAGGCACTGCCGTGTGTTACTGGAGACTGTGTGGCCAGCCAGGGCGTCAGCGAGCTAAGAGGTATGACAAATTCATGCCAGGGAAAACAGCTCTCACGCAGACTTCGTCAACCTTGTTTTCATGGCTTTTGTGTCTTGTAAACAAGTTGTGGCAGCTGCATGTGATAAATCTCTGCGCAAAGCAAAAATAATTACAATAGGGAGGGAATCTTGACCCTGGCGTCGCTGCCTGCGTGCAGGGAGGGGGTGTTGTCTCGCTGCCTGTTGCGGGGGGTGGTTTGCGGTGTCCCACACGTCTCCCAGCCTGTGCCATGAGGTCAGCGTACATGGCTGTAAAACCGTTGGAGCTGCAGCAGCTGGCCCCGTGCTGTGGGGGAGGGAATGGGGCGAGCGGGGCTGGAAGCTGGGCTAACTTCACGGCTGCGCCATCCCGGGCCACGCTGGCTCGGATAACAGCGGGATCCCGCTGCCCGGGCAGGCAGAGCGGGGGGCGTGGGAGAACTTCACTGGAAAAGGGGAAGCAGGAGAAAGTAAGCGGCAACCAGGGAGAGAGGGTGTGTGGTGAGGAATCGGCTTTCCCCTTGGAGATGAGGTAAGGCTGCAGTGGGAAGCCCGGCCCACAGAAGGTGAAGTGCAGCTGGGAGTCCAGGTGCACCGTGACCCTGTTCAGTGTCACTTTCACACCTATGGTATTTAGGCCACTTGCAGTTAACTGTGTCCTGTTTTCATTTGCCATTTTTCTTCAATCACTTACGCAGGGATTTTTGGTAACCCTTGGAGTACTTTACATTCTCTTTAAAACTAATTTAGTTTTTTTTTTTGTTTTGTTTTTTTTTTTTTTTTTTTTTTTTTTTTTTTTTTTTCTTTTTTTTCCTTTCTCTACTTGGCATCTTTCAATTGTCAACTTCTCGCCTGGCTTTTTCCCAGTAGGGATTACTGGCACAAATACAGCTCATATTCACTTTTCAGGACATTACTTGTTTAAAGTCTCCTGTTCACCAACTGCCGGAGTTGTTACATCTCTATCCTGTTTCGCTGGTTCAGCAGGCTCTTCTCCCATGAGTTCCAGCCTTCAGACTGAAGGAGAAGAGATTAGATTAGCCACTCACTCTAGCAAAATGTCACTTAGAGCTGTTGCTGTTCCAGACATGATAATTGCACCCATGTGTGCTGTATGCGGTTCAGTGTCTATTCCAGTCCCTGTCACGACAATGAGTGCCTGGAGTTCTGCACACACAGAAAATCATATAAGTTGGTACTAGCTATGCTACAAAGTAAAATCTCAGGCTGCTTTCTCCATCTGTATTTTGCATGCGCTCCTGCTGACAGCTCAAAGCCATTTTGCTCACCTTTCCCTTTGAAACTGGCTTTATTTGCCTTTAAACTCCTTTTTTTTTCTGAAGCTGAGGTGTCAGGTCTGGGACTACAGCTGGCAGGAATCTCAAGTCCTGCTACACACATTTGCAGAACAGGGTAGCTTTCACCAACAGGTCGACTTCACAGCCCTTTGTAGCTCTGCAGAGCTGTTTCATTGTGCAGCATGAATCACAGTCCCTGAAGCTGATGCAGCCATGAATAAATCGCATCTGCCTCCCAGCTAATCTGTGTTCCACTGGATAGGAGGATTTCTGCCAAATTCCATGTGTTTCTACTGACAAACAAGGTGTTGATCTTTCAGCTGCTTACACAACGTGTAATAAACCTGTAAAAAGGCAGAGATACAGTAGGAGTACTTTGAATTAGTGACTTAACTGGGGGGAGGAGGAGGGGCACAGGTGGCAGATTGTGAGTTGAATGAGTGCAGCTGACAACCATCTAACCCTGTTTATTCTTGGATAGCTTCCCTGGGACCACAGACCAGGGCTGTGGCTGCTTTCTGTAATTGCAGCCTAGGCAGTGCCTGCCCTGGGCACCAAGCCCTATCTCTAGGTGTGTAACAACATGACCCTCTCAGAGTGAAGAACCCTTGTCTAGGCATATATAAACCCTGCACATGGTTTTTTTTATGAGCCTTTCATCACATCATTTAGCTGACATTAAAAGAGGATTGACCTGATGATGGTGAGAGTGGGTCAGTCCCAGAGCTGTGGGTTTTGCAGTAGATATATCTATGTTTGCCTGGCTTCTCTGAGTCTTTCCATCTCTGTAGAGTTGCCACACTGCTGGGGAAGTAGTGACCTGGAGCTCCTCCATCAGTGACATTTCACAAGTTGGCAGGACTTGCCTTCTTTTTGGGAATATTCATTTTTATATATAGTATCACATCATTTAGCTGACATTAAAAGAGGATTGACCTGACGATTGTGAGAGTGGGTCAGTCCCAGAGCTATGGGTTTTGC